ACAACTCAAATGGCTCCTCATCCGCTTTCGCAGGAATTAATACTCACATTCTCTCCGCATTGTATGGTGTGCTGTTTAATCCTTCTACTCCCTATTATTTAAAAAACCGTTTCCAGTATCTTTCCCTTTACCCTAATCGGTTCCTTCGATCCTCTGTCAATCTTTCTCTCTCTAGTTCTTGGCACTCTTTTCCTTTTTTAAGAAATCCTTTACTGTCACTGCTGTGCGTTTATGGAACTATTTACCTCTCCACATTCGTCGTGCGAAATCTCTTCATTCTTTCAAAAATCTTGTTAACTTAGAACACTATTATAGATAAATTACTTTTTTTTTATTCGTACTCTTTTTTAAATGAAAATCTATTATATCATTTTATATATCATTTTCACTTATCCTTATTTATATGTATCTTCCATTGATCACTAATAAAGAACTAGATACACAATCAGTGACAAAAATGTCCTTATCGAATGAGCGCCCGCTTTTAATTTGTACGTAGGTTTGCGAATACAACTTTAGGTAATGCATTTAAGGTTGAATTTACATTAATGTATATTTATTTCAACTAGTATTTCGTCAAAACAATTGGCGACAGATTTTAGAGAAGGTTTGCTTGGGATTGCGTATCTAGTTGTTTATTAGTGATCGATGGTATCTTCATATTTTTTTTGTACGCCTCCTTCTATTTTAACTATTGTTTGCATCAGTTCTCTACACAAAGGTTGTCTGGAAGAGATCACTTTCAGAGTGATAAGACTACTCGTTATTATGTATTTTGGTGTACAATAAAGAATAAATAAATAAATTGTATTTTAAATTATCTACGATACTTTCTCGTTTTACTAATAAATAATTAAAAATTAAAAATTTTGTACAACCGCCTTCAATATATATAAATTATTAAGAATAACTCAAAAACTATTGGTCAGACCTCGGATCATATTTATATGGGCCCACATGTGAAGCACCAGCTTTCAAATAAAAAAAGAATCATCGAAATCGGTTCACCGAGTAAAAAGTTATGAGATAACACACATAAAAAAACATACAGTCGAATTGAGTACCGGCTCCTTTTTGAAGTCAGTAGATAAATCATACCATGAACATAATTTAAAATTAAAAATTTTGTACAACCAACTTCAACATAAATTATTATAAATTACTCAAAAACATGTGAAGCACCCGCTTTCAAATAAAAAAAGAATCATCGAAATCGGTTCACCCAGTAAGTTATGAGGTAACGCATAAAAAAAAGAACATGCAGTCGAATTGAGTACCGGCTCCTTTTTGAAGTCGGTAGAAAAGTAATAAGCGTCTTACGCTTGCGGCAGTTTAGGGAGGGTTGATGTGAAAGGAGACGAAGACTTTTTCATATGTTACTTTTATTTTCTAACTAACAAGCTAACTTAACTACTGTGAACATTTATGTTCACAAAAATAATGGACGATCTTAACTTTTAAACCTTGGTTTTATGCTATGTTTTGGTTTGTTTATATAATATTATGTCACGTAAGTGAATTGAGTCACGTCTTTAAAGACGTACTGCTATTTACTTAGCAGGCGGTGCTGTATGGTAGGTGTCTTCGTGATGGTATGCAAGGTCAGTAGGCATATGTAACTCCTTCAGCACGATGACTATTGCTACACATTCAGCGAAAATGTCGAGACGTCTTCGGGGGAACCCCGTAGTACTCATATAATATTTGAAAGATTTTCTTGGATTTGCTTTAGTTTTCTTATTGGTATATATCATCGAATTAATATTACAACAGTCACTATGATAGGTTGTAGCAGCCATCACTGTATGAAAAGGAGTAGTTGTGTGATATAGTGGATCCACTCATGCATTATTTATCTGTACTGGGGTTTATAATATGACTTTTTCCTGGAGATCATGAACTCCTTGCAGGTTGCTGGTGTTGACATCTGTATTACTATATTTATATTATATGTGCATTTGTATGATGGCGCCTCCACACGCTTGGGGTTTGCCACATACACCATACACGAACAAACACCGACCACATTCACCCAACACAAACACGGCATCCACACGCTCGGCGAACGTGCTAGTATATTCCGGATAGGCAAACATGACGGATAACGAGCTTGGGGCAGCGATTACTTTCGGGTTGACCTATTTTTATTTAAAAATAAGGCATTATGAATTGCTCTCAAGGTTATTGTATTGAAGATTTTACACACCATAGAATCTCAAATGAATTCTCAATTATCACTGCTATAAATTGTCTTCAGGTTCAAATAAGTTTGGTTTGAACGCTTTTATTCGTAACTGATTATTATGTAACACGTGACTCTAAATTAATATAAAAACAAAGTTTTATGAAATTAATGCTTGACTGGGGAATCGAACCCCGAACTTTCGTTCGACATTATATTGAACCTATTTACTTTTAACATAGATTATCTCTTTATTCGAAGCGCCTTATACAATTTAATAGCAATATTTTTAAAACGCACAATTGTTTATTTTTATGGAATGAAAATGATAAACTATTTTTTAAGCGCTTCGCCAAAACTAATAGCAGTAATGCATATGAGCCGTTTTCTTCATAAAATGGTTATTTTTAACAGCTTACAATAACATTACAGAGTTATTAATGCAGCTAGTCTTAGGTCTTTTCTATGAAAATGTAACGAAATTTTTACTAATCCAAGTGTATTTTATAAGGTCAACTATTACTAGTTAACTTTTTGATTCTACGCAGCTGTGATAGTTTTCCTTTTAACTGCATTATATAAACTACTATTGGGTATACTTTTCACATGTCGATCTGTTAACTTAGTAGAGGGGGGGGGGGGGGGGGACACATGACTCTAATGAAAAATAGCACTTTAAAGCTAAATATTTCACAAACGGACCCCAGAATCGAAAAGATGTTGTTCAACACCCCCAATGTTTTTGAAAGACCTATCCAACGATACCCTACATGATAGAATACACGTAAAAAAAAAAATCATCCTCCATTTACTTGGGTGGGATGTACCCAAAATAAAAATGTTTTTTTTAAGATTTTATTTCAGTTTTCTAGGCGTGGTTAATATTTATAACTGTGGCAAATTACAGATTTGTAGCACCTAGGGTCTGAGCAAAACCACGGACGGACGGACATGGCGAAACTATAAGGGTTCCTAGTTGTGTAACTACGAAAGTCTAAAAACGATTAAATCAGTATATACTATTCTTATATAATTTTTTCGGATTTTATTTTGGGAATTGATGATCAATGATCCTGCTTTCACACGGGGCTCCTTATAAAAAGAGGTGAATAATTGTTACCCAATAGAAACATTTATTAGGAGTCAATCACATTATTATTAGGAGGTCTCTAGAAAACTTTTAAAAAAATAGGTGGTAGATCTACTAACTTTTCGAAGTAGAATTGGTAGTAAACTCAACTTCTGAAATCATATTTAGCTCCGAGACAAATTTCGGATTGGTAACATTGGCGTAGAGTATAATAATAATAGCCACTAGTAACTCCTTCCGCCGCCCGCAAGCCGCAAGCTCGCGCGTTCCCTATATATAATGTACTCTGTGCGTAATACTGACTGATTGCCAAACGTGTGGATACATAGCAAACACGTTTGACGAACACCCTTTGATCGGTGCACAAAAACCGACACCAACGCCGATCACTGGCATTCACATACAAACAAACAAACAAACAAACAGGCAAACAACCATCCACACGTTCGTGATTGCTGTTTGGTGTATGCTGTTCGCCGTTGTTTGGCAAGCGTGTGGATGAGGCATGATAGATGTACAGAATAACTTATACACTAGTATATTTATATAATATATATATATATTCTGGTTTATCCGAACTTCGTATACATTTTTTCATTATTAGTTTATTTTTGCTGCACTACCTCCCATAAATTAATATATGCTTAGCCTAATGGTTAACTGGGAGAGAATGCCTTAAAGCATTAAGTCCACCATATGTACGATTTTATTTTTTTATGCATAAAATTTTAAAAGATTAATAAATATTATGGTTGTAGGTTGTAGCACAAATGAGTCGGCTCGACCGGAGTAGTTGCACGCTCTCACATAATACCAGCGTACAATAGCGTACAATTTACTATAGAAATGTTCATTAATAAATTGCCTATCCATTGGTGTAAATCGCAAAATAAAATAATACTTACTTTACGAGGAGATGCATGTTATCAATAATAATTTCACATTTATGTGGTTTCGTTGTAAGGAGATTATATTAATATTTATTCCTTTAAAAAAAATTGGATATAGCTTTTATGGAGTCAAGATTATGTAGAAATATAATGTGTTTTTTATTTGTTGATATATCTTTTAAATAAAAAGTAGATAGCTCCTAAAAACCGCACAAATAACGACTAGCGCGACATTTTGCTTAACCTGCGCCTTAATGCTGCCGTGATTCGTACAGTGAGCGTAGAGAACCGGAAACATGTTTTTATTAAAACGAGGCACTCCATCTTACTCATCAGGGTTGACAACGCATTTTGATTAATAATCTATACAAATAAATAAAATTGAAGTGTCTGTTTGTAATGTCGAAATAACAGCGTTTTACTATACGCATATGAAAGGATATACGGTACTTATAACAAAAACACGATTTTTAAAATTTTTGTCTGTCTGTCTTTCTGTCTGTCTGTCTGTCTGTTTGTTTGTTCCGGCTAATCTCCGAAACGGCTGGACCGTTTTTGACCGGACTTTCACTGACAGATAGCTGATGTTATAAGAAGTAACTTAGGCTACTTTTGTTTTAGAAAAAGAGTTAGGGTTCCGCGAAAAAAAAATACCCATGAAATCCAATCGAAATAAATTACGCGCGGGCGAAGTCACGGGGAACAGCTAGTCGAGAATAAATGTAAATATCTATGGGCCACAGTATCCACTTAGCATTAGATGGGCTTTGTACTCGTTCGTCACCTTTATCCTTCTGTATATTTACCCAGGTATAATCAACGCAGCAGACTATGCTGCATGGCTACCATATGGACTGCCTTGGTGGTAGTAGGAAATACTCTCGAGGTGTACGACGATCAAGCGCCGCGATCTCTTGATGATCAAGTTATGTATCAGGTAATGATTTGACCTTTTCTTCCTTTCTATGCTATCGTTCGGAACTCTTTTACTTTCTTACACTGTGTATTTTTCCTGGATTACTTCAAAATAACTTTTCTGTAATCTATCATTGATTAGTCTATTCTAGCTTAGCCTACAAGGTTTTTTAACAGAAAAAAGCAAATAGTCTACCTGATTGTAAGTTTATACTGTGATCCATAGACACATGCATCTATGATTGAGAATCAAAATGCAGATGTGTTGTCACCCTTGAGTTGGACTAACAATGATCGCCCCGTTACCAGTACAAAGGGTCTCCTGTTCTCGTAACTTGTTTCGTAAGTTCATTATGCTTGTTCCATCTCTTCTCGAGCCGACCCATTCGTAATGCGGTCAAAATACGCTGCATTATATCTATGTATTATCTATGACATATCAACGCATCTGCATTATAAATTATTAATCGGGGATAGGTGTAGGTGTCTATGGGCCACGACATACACATCCCTTTTCTACCGACTTCCAAAAAGTAGACGGTACTCAATTAGACTGTATGTTTTTTAATGTGTGTTACCTCATAACTTTTTACTGGGTGAACCAATTTCGATGATTCTTTTTTTATTTGAAAGCTGGTACTTCTCGTGTGGTCCCATATGATAGTTACTCATAATAATTGAGTTATTCTTAATAATTTATATTGAGGTCGGCTGTACAAAATTTGTAATTTCAAATTATTATACCGTAACAAAAGCCAATTCACACTCTTGCATTGAATATGCCCAGATTGTATTCGAACAGAAAGACAGACGCCGGCATATTCCACTCCATTACTGTGCGCATTACGAATGACCAAGCATATCGTTTGGTTTGAACTGTTTGGTATGGTTGGTGTGGTTTTACGTAACATAGGTTGATCATGGTCAGACCAATAGTTTTTGAATTATTCTTAATAACTTATATTTAAGTCGGCTGTACAAAATTTTTAATTTTAAATTATTGGACCCATCCTGAATCTTTATCGAGACTGTGTTGTGTTGTTAATTATTGGGTAACTTGATGAAAGTGTTCTTTTTTTTTTCAAAAAACTTTCAATGAGTATTACTTATAACCTTTATTTAATAAAAAAGTATCTATTTCTATAAATTGTTAATATTAATATGTTCGTGAATTTTCTATTTCTCGCATATCTCGAGATGAAATGATTGTATCCTCACAAAAACTATTTTTATTTTTCATTTTCAGGAGTATAGCGATCTAGACACTGGACCACTTGCTGCCGATCAGAAAATTGGGAACGCAATGATAAGAGGTTATACGTTAAGAGAACCTGAGGAAAACGGGGCAGTGTTATTGTATAAAATTATGCAAGGCTCACGACTAAGAGACGAATTTCCAGGACAATATTACAGGTAACACCTTATTAATAAAATATTTTCATTATTTAACTGGGCTGCGTTATGCAGACATGATTCAATCGACAAACTGGCCAAAATAATGATCCAGAGGCTCTTTTTTAAGTTAATTTTCAATTTGAAAGACTTTTGAAAAATAATAAGTAATCCCAAAGACTACATTCAATTTTAAAATGATATACATAATATGACATAATAGGGCTTCTGCCACAAGAAAAATGCATTTATCTTACAAATCTGAAGAACTTTATGATTTTGTGGGTTTAAACATTTCTGCATAACACGGTCCATTTTATTTATACTATTCACACTACCGGTTAACGCAGATAGTTGTTTGTTTATTAAGGCACTCACACAACAAAGGAAGTTTCAAAATCGATTCCTACTTAATAATTTTTGGAATCGAGACGAGGAACTTGCGAGTATTAACTTAATGAAAAATGCACATGCTCTCGTTATTTGTTTTCCGTAATGTGATGTGTGAGTGAAGTAATTTAACTTGAAGTAAGTAACGAGAGGTCGGCCATTTGAATTTTTTAAGTTTTTTTTACGGCTTGACACTTTTTAGAATGGAAACCATTCATTCGGATTTCGGATGGTAGCGCGGCTGTGTGAACCGAGTGTTCCACGACACTCACGCATGATTTTTCTTTATTTTTATTAAGTAACTTATTTTTTATATAAAAAAACTAGTTTCTTTTATAAGTCCATATCGATAAAAAGATTTTAGCGACAGTCGATCGAGTTTCTGAAGTTTTCTGTAAATATTTTTCTAACAATATGTATTATTTTATGCAGGTCGATTCCAGAATCCGTCGATTATATAGAACTCTCACCAAAAACACCAGGAACCGTTGACACGAAGATGACAGTGACAAAGCGATTGACAGACGTCATCAAACAAAGAGAGACGAAGAATGCCTACAAATCCAACAACCGTTATCGACCACAGCAGAAGTGGAAGACCAAAAAGGGTAAGGTCACAGGTAAATATAACAACCTTAGTAAGCCCCACAGCTGGGCCTACGAGGATATCGGAAGAAGGAAAGTCCACCGTGATGCGCCAATACGTGTTAGCGCATTTCACGTGTCCCCGAATTTTTTTCGTATACATAGATTTCTTCACCGTGTATTTCTTCACTGCCGAGCACGTGATAAATTAGCACTAAAGTTATTATAAATACGCTAGCACTATGAAGTATACACGGCGGGAATCTTAACTCGTCTGACTCGACTTTATCACATGGTATAAACATTTTAGGCGAGCGCTCACTTATTCCCAGGGCTATCACGACAAAGATATAGCAAGGAGGAGAGCTCTATGTCTGTTGCTAGGGCTACAGAATTCTGTGGGTGGCATATTTGGAAAAGAAAATCAGCCGCCTACCCATTTAAAAAGCTTTAAAATCTGAAAAATAGTTAATGAATAAAAACGTAGTGATTATATACATACTCTTTATTATATACACACTAGCATAATATACAGATACGCGCACGCACGCACGCACTCGTATTCGACTATTTATCGTATCGACTAATGAGAATTCTGTATCACATCCCATCTTAGATGCATTTTGTAAATTTTAATAATTTTCTACTAATTTTTAGTTTTACCAATCCCTTAAAAATAAAATGGAAGATAATTTATAATCGCCAAATTTTTATAACAGAATGAAAATATAATTAGGTAGAGATTGTCCAATTTAAAACTGCATGCGCTTCTCTTGTATTTTTGGTAGATTATTTCTTAAGTATTATAAAATAGAAATCTGCGCTCCCTTTCTATTGTTCTAGTAGATTGCAGCATTTTTACAAGAAAGAATTTTTACAAAGATAAAAGTGAGCCGCGTGCACTTTTAAATTAGACGATCTCTACTTACAAGGTCACTTGTTTTTCAAGAATAGGTGTTTACTTACTCTTTATATTTATAATTCTTCTGTCCGTGTATGCGACTGAACTCCTCCTAAACGGCTGGACCGATTTTGATGAAATTTTGTGTGTGTGATTGATTCGAGAATGGTTCAAATTCACAATTGGACCCGGTAGGTGGCGTTGTTGTCAAGATTCAGAAATCACCCGTAAGCCGGGGCGGATCATTAGTTGATATATAAAGAGTGAAGAAAAAAGGTAGTGCTACAATATGTCTTCATGACCACTGAGATAATAATACATTGACTTAGTAACTAAGAGAAGACTATCTATAGTTCAGAATCACATTCCACCGAATCACCATTATTTTCGCGTTTCATTTTTATTATTTTTAAGTACCTTTTACAATTCACAGGTTCGCAAATGATCTGCTACTTCAAGCTGTGCACGTTCCGGTCACCCTCCTAATTTCTTTGATCCGATCGGAAAAGTATTTGAGAGGAAAATCAAAGACGCATTGATTTCACGACACTGAACTTTATAAAATTATTTGTTAAACTAAATGTTTTTAAATATTATATTATGACTCAAAAAAACAGTTGTCATTCAGTTAGTTTTCAAGTTAGTGTATCAAAACACTATAATTTATTTAACGGTCACGTCACAAAAGTTGAAAGATGTTTTCGAAATAAAACTTTGAAAGCACTTAGAATTATTGTTAATATTAAAGTAGTATGGAACCGTCCATCAATCACGTGAGGTTTTTAGGCTACTTTTATACCCCTCCCCCTTGATCGTATTTTTTATTGAAAAGATCACATATTTTGAGAATCTTATTTTTTAAGCGACTAAATCTTATTTTCTAAGCGGCAAGGTGCGGACCGCGAATTCAAAAGGTCGTGGGTTCAAATCAGCCATTCGACTACTATCGTGAACCACTCCTAACACAAGCATTTTAAGCTTACCAGGAATGGTTAAAGGGAATATTAGTCATGTTAATAGCATTGCTCGTATTTTTTTTAAATAAATAAATAGAAATATCCTAAAATTAGATTGTGAAAAACCATGAATGTTAATAAAATTGAAATAGATTGTCACAATATCCCATCCTGCCCCATCGTTTTTTATCGTGATTTTTTTCTAACCCCTTCCAAACCCTTCGAACCTCATGTAATTAAGGGACGACCCGTAAGTACATAACATGATCTTATCAAACTTCTAGTTTTAGTTCGTTGATATTAGATCATTAAGTGTATCTAAAAAGTTTAATTAATTAAGCAGTAGAGAATTCGACTTTTTGCCGTGAGTGAATATCGCGAAGAAAACAGAAAATTTGCCACAAAAATATTCACTATTTTGGCTTCAAAATTTTATCTAATATTATATTGATATGCAAGGCTTAAATGTATTAGAAAATAATAAAAAGTCATACCTTTAAAAATATTAGCTCATATCCTAGTAACTCTGTAATGGTTAGCATTCTGTGCTTCTTCTATTTTAGAATTATATAGAGTAAGTATAAAAATCTGATGTTAATTAATATAATTCATATTTAAAATAAATTTCAATTCTTAGCGCACATGTTTATATTTCATTTTAAGCTTATTGACGGTGTTATTGTAGGTGGATTATTAAATAAAATTTTGAATCAGCAATGCCTTCTCATTTTAATACAAACCTTATTATTATATTGCTTTCATCGTCATTATGTTTTACCGGTTCATGCAATAAAATGGTACTGGATGTAGATCTGATGATGGACCTGGTAGAGCCACGCTGCAGCTATGTTATGATTGTAGCACGAATCGGTCGGCTGGAACGGGGTAACACCACGCTCTCACGGAACACTACGTAAAATAACAGCTTAATGCTGCTGCTGTTTCGTATGGTGAGTGTAGAGAACCGGAGACGTTTTTACTGGAAACGACGCATTCCATCTTAGTCCACAGGGATGCTCTTTTTTCTTGTATCTGCATTTTGATTCTTAAACAAATATACATATACAAGTACAAAAAAATAATATTTATACAAATAATTAAAATTGAAGTGTTTATTTGTAATGTCAAAATAACAGGTTTTCCACCGACTTCAAAAAGTAGGAGGTACTCATAACTTTTTTCTCGGTGAACCAATTTCGATGATTCTTTTTTATTTGAAAGCTGATGCTTCTCATGTGGTCCCATATAAATTTTATCAGTCTGAGAAATTATTTTTGAGTTAACCTTAATAATTTATATTGAAGTCGATTGTACAATTTTTTTTAATTCTACCACTTGTTACTAAATGCATATGAAAGTATATACGGTAATAATAACAATTTTTTTTAATTTTTGTCTGTCTGTCAGTTTGTTTCGGCTAATCTCCGAAACGGCTGGAACGATTTTAACGGGACATTCACTAGCAGATAGCTGATCTTATAAGGACTAACTTAATATACTACTTTTATTTTAGAAAATTAAAACTCATGAAATCCACTCGTAATAAATTCCATGCGAGCGAAGTCGACGGGGACAGCTGGTTAAGGATAAATGTAGATGCCTGTGAGCACAGCATCCACTTACCATCAGGTGGACTGTGTGCTCGTATGTCACCTGTTACATATTCTATAAAAAAAACCGGATGCTGACACTAACAACGCCTAAAAACTTGTTATTTAAAGACATTTCATGGTAGACATTACATGTATTGTAACTTCAATAAGTTCTGAACAGTAAAAAAATAAAAACTATTGGTAAATCCATATGTGCATGCCTTAAGCGAACTAAAAAAAAATTTATAAAAAAAAAAAAAAAGAAAAACATAAATTTAAAAAAAGCTTGGAAAATCCAAAAGTGCACGACTCATAATGCTCACATGATCGTGACAAAATAATAAAGAATTGTAAAATGTAGTTCTATTCGTCAAAAAGTTCCAGTAGCAGTCATCCAAGTACACTCCCAAGTCACTCTATCAAGCCTTTTTTTTTTTGCGGATGGAAAATCATCATATGACGCCTTTCGCTCTGGGTGGAGCGGAAGGGAGTGTCAGACTTTTACTGACTAAAAACCATCCGTGTTCCTTCAGTGCCCTTACGTTCCGGAGCCGCGGTATCTCTTTCGAACAGCCCGCAGCCCCGGCAGGCGTCGGCCCTTGCGGGCCCGTTCACGCTGCTGACAGCTCTTTGAGGGGCGCGTGGAACAAAACGCGCCGTCGACACGCCCTGTCGTCATTAGACGGACGGACGGCGAGCTACCCATTGCTCGCCGTCCACAGGCCCGCGCCTACGGTGGCCGGGGGCCACGACGTAGCCCCCGACGCCCGGGGCGTCTCCCGCGGCGGCCGGGAAGGAAAGCTGCTGCTCTCTCCTTCTCCCGCTCCGCCACCTCCTTCGCTAGCATCACTGCTTCGCAGAAGGTGGTGACGGCATCCCATTCCGTCTCGCTCCGGACCATGGCTTCGACCAGGGCCGGACGCGAGAGGTCGCCGCCGCCTATCGCCGCTACGAGGACACGGCGGTGCTCCGCCCAGGCAGGGCACACCTCCACGGTGTGCTCCACCGTGTCCTCCGGTCGATCCTCGCAGTGGGAGCACCCGGGCGTTTCCTCCCGCCCGATTCGGTGCAGGAACCTCCCGAACACACCGTGTCCGGTGAGGACCTGCGTCAGGCGGAAGGTGAGGACGCCGTGGCGTCTCTCAAGCCACTCCTCAAAGAGGGGTCTTATCGCCGCTATAGTGGCGTGCCCAACTCTATCAAGCCTGGAGGTAAGGTCTCATCATAACTAACAAAACGAAGTCAAACTCGGCACATCTAGTTCTCCTCGTCGAGAAGTTCCAGTAGTAGATACCGAAGTACACTCCATAAAGTCCAAGACGTATAAGTATATTTATATATAAATCCTACGTACTTTTAGCGAAACAAAATATTGGAATAAATATCTGTGGTTATAAAAATAATAACCTTGGTCAAGTATATATCAAATTTGATTTCCGGAAAATATTTTGTATTTCTACAACGATCGTTATTATACAGCACGAGCCGCTGTAAACAAACGATACAGTATCAACTCACGACGGCGGCCGAGCTCGGAATAAAAAGTACTCTGTGGCCCGGAGTGACGAGTGAAGCAAAATGTATTTAGTAAAATAAATTATTACAAGGCTGCTCAAAACACTGAAAATATCGGCATTTCTCAACCGAAAAAAAATGTGTCAAAGTGCCATTTAAATTCCATGTCATGAAAGATGAAGAGATTAAAAAATAGATTGACTTAGACAATTGATACTTTCAAAAGTTATCGTGTTTACCCCACCATGCGAACTTGATAAATCTACACCATAAGCTACTAAAACCACTTTTTATGTAAAGATAGCAATTAATCGATTTAAAAAAATATTTACAAATTCAATAACCATTTTTAACTTTCTGACAATGTGCATTTTATATCTTTTATATGTTCAATATGATTGTTAGATACGATTTCATGCGACAAAACGTTGGAATCTTTATTTTTAGGCAATAGTTTATAACACACCTACGCGCTTTGCGCTTAAGGCATGCAAAATGGGAGTACGAGTATAAGCTCTATTGAAAACGTTGCATTCGCTGACTACGCTATGCAATAGCAGCTGTTCAAATTCTATCAGATTATGTAACATGCCTCCTGAGCATACATTTTCTATTGTTACGAATTCGTATCGTCGTCGGGTGACATATTTCTATAAAAATTTTGTCATGACGATACGTAAACGTACCTAAGCATCAAGTACGTGTGACTAAGACCATCGAACTTAAAATTAACTTAACAAGTGGAATGCGGGTAGTGAAGACTGCGTAAGTACCTCCGAAGGAGGCGTACTTTTAGAGAAAAAAATATTGAAAATCAATTATTTTGTAATATTTATGTCAATTCCTACCGTAAAATTGAGGCTATTTTGTATTGTCATCGTCAGTAGGGATGTCGATTCTCTCCGAAAAAATAGTTTTTTTTAATCTATTCAAATTGTCAGATGATGGATTAAAAAAAATCGATTTCTAAAATATCGATATTTTTTCATGCATTTATAATGTAAATATAAATCCATACATATAGACCTGGAACAATCGAAAAGCTAATTGTTTGCCCAAGATCCTGATTCTGGATGCGGCAAGAACTCTTGGATGATAAATGTAATAGTTTAATTGAATTTCAAAAATTAAAATCTTGCCTAATCGTATTTGCACATAATTCAAGAAATTTCAAGATGCAATAAAATTTCTTAATTGAAAGAAGAATGCAAAATAAGTAATAAGTTACGAATATAATATTGTATTATGAAGTCTTAAAGCGTTATAGACTCGTCCGTTCAAATTCATATTTTGATAGGCTCGGGCTACTTGTCACTGTTGCGTTTCGATTTACGGTAGAACCAGTAAAACGCAACACCAATCCTTTTGGACTCGCCATTACATGTCTGTCGCTGCGGCAATCTCATCATGATAACTACCGCGT